CCCCCCCGACCATGACACGTATGCGTTGGCCCCCTGCAACTCACTCCACCGATACCCCATGCACCGCACGCTCCTTCCTTTCGACACGAGCGGGTCCACCCCATGCCGACCCGCCTGAGACGTTTATAGTGCGTGGAATGGATGTGAACAACGGCACATTCTTCTCGCACACACACATGCCGCAAGGGCATCTCTCCCCAAACAATCATCCGGGGATGATGGGTGTACCTTCTCTCTTTCTATCCCTCACCCAAACCCCAGACACACAACGCAGAACCCCGTAGGAATGCAATCTCAACTCGCCCTTGCGCCACATGCCGTCCCTCATCAAAACCACCGCTCCCTCTCGACCCCCACTGTTGTCTTCACAAAAAAAAAAGCTCCGTGTCCCGGAGCACTCGCCCTTCACGGAAGCTAAACCGCATGCGAAATGAAACCATAGCATGGTGTACGAAACCATAGTATCGTGAACAAAAAAATCACTCAAAACTATCCTATGGTACCCATGGTGGAGCAGGTTCACCCCGCCACAAAAACAAATGATGAATGAAACTAGACCCGATCGCCATTGCATGCAAGCTGAGCCAAGTGCGCGCTAGCAGAATGCGGAGCCTCCTTCTTAGGAAAAAGCATGTGACCACAAAAAAAAAAATGAAACGGTGCCAAGTACAGCCCCACTTTCACGCCGTCAACAAAACAAACTGCAGGAACACTCGCCCTTCACACGGAAGCTAAACCGCATGCAAAACGAAACCTTCGATACCCTGTCGAAGAAGCACAACGTGCAAACCAAACCATGGTGCAGAAAAAAATCACTCAAACTATCCCATGTTGGAGCAGGTTCACCCCGCCACAAAAAAATGTCTTAATGAAACTAAACCCGATCGCCATTGCACGCAGGCTGAGCCAAGTGCACGCTAGCAGAATACGGAGCCTCCTTCTTAGGAAAAAGCATGTGACCACAACAAAAAAAATGAAACGGTGCCAAGTACAGCCCCACTTTCACGCCGTCAACAAAACAAACTGCAGGAACACTCGCCCTTCACACGGAAGCTAAACCGCATGCAAAACGAAACCTTCGACACCCTGTCGAAGAAGCACAACGTGCAAACCAAACCATGATGCAGAAAAAAATCACTCAAACTATCCCATGTTGGAGCAGGTTCACCCCGCCACAAAAAAATGTCTTAATGAAACTAAACCCGATCGCCATTGCACGCAGGCTGAGCCAAGTGCACGCTAGCAGAATACGGAGCCTCCTTCTTAGGAAAAAGCATGTGACCACAACAAAAAAAATGAAACGGTGCCAAGTACAGCCCCACTTTCACGCCGTCAACAAAACAAACTGCAGGAACACTCGCCCTTCACACGGAAGCTAAACCGCATGCAAAACGAAACCTTCGACACCCTGTCGAAGAAGCACAACGTGCAAACCAAACCATGATGCAGAAAAAAATCACTCAAACTATCCCATGTTGGAGCAGGTTCACCCCGCCACAAAAAAATGTCTTAATGAAACTAAACCCGATCGCCATTGCACGCAGGCTGAGCCAAGTGCACGCTAGCAGAATACGGAGCCTCCTTCTTAGGAAAAAGCATGTGACCACAACAAAAAAAATGAAACGGTGCCAAGTACAGCCCCACTTTCACGCCGTCAACAAAACAAACTGCAGGAACACTCGCCCTTCACACGGAAGCTAAACCGCATGCAAAACGAAACCTTCGATACCCTGTCGAAGAAGCACAACGTGCAAACCAAACCATGATGCAGAAAAAAATCACTCAAACTATCCCATGTTGGAGCAGGTTCACCCCGCCACAAAAAAAATGATGAATGAAACTAGACCCGATCGCCATTGCATGCAGGCTGAGCCAAGTGCACGCTAGCAGAATACGGAGCCTCCTTCATAAGAGAAGCATGTGACCACAACAAAAAATTAAATCGGTGCCAAGTACAGCCCCACTTTCACGCCGTCAACAAAACAAATTGCAGGAACACTCGCCCCTCACCGAAGCTGTACAACTTTCACTCACACGGCGCCCTCGTAGAATTTGAAGATCCCCACGGAGAAATAGAGAGGTAGACATCGCCCCCCCCCCCAGTAACAAAAAAAGTGTGTAACGACAAAAAGGCTCCCGAGAGCAGCAGGCTACGCCTTCCGGCGTGCTTAGAGGGACGGGTCGTGCTTTTCCATAAGGGTTTGCAACTCGTTGTTCCGAAGCGAGAGAGCAAGCGTTGCCGCGCGGCGCACCAGTGCAGGGCAGTTGTCAGGGAGAGCGTCTAATTCAGATTGGGCGCTCATGGCATTTTTTGTCGCCTGGGTTAGCTGAGCAGCCACGTCGGGTACTGCAGGCGATTCTGCCTCCTTTTCCTCCGATTTTTGAAATCTTCACGAGTGCGTCTACTGCCGCCTTCATCATCTCGACCTTTGCATCCTCGCTCGCCCTCCTACGGGTGGCGTCAGAGGCGCTTTGTTTGCGCCGCTACTTCGCTGCACTATCTGCGGCCCCGAGCTCCTTGCGGGAATCGAAACCCTCGCCCTCTATTCCGCGACAACCCGCCCCCCCCGGAACGCTTGACCCCATCCCCGTCCCCCCATCAGGGATGATCAGATCCCCGACGTTCGACACGTTACCACCGCCCTTGAGTTTCAAGACGTCGTGGTACAACTGCACCGCCAGCCTACCCCTGCAGAACTGCCAGAAGTGTTTTGCTGGCACGCGGCGTTCCTCCCCGAGTTCCGCGCTCTCCCTTGCCCCGGCAAACCCCTCCCCCCCTTCCCCGTCGCCCTCGCCCTCGTTGTCCGTCCCCTCCTCTTCTTTTTCCTCGTCCGCACCCCAGCCGCCGCTCTGATCCTGGTTGTGGACACACTCCTGCATCACGCAAGACGATCGACAGGCATACCCACCACGACAGTAAGAACACGGGAACGGGCATACAACAAGGGTCGACCATAATACGGGCATGGATAAAGAAATTAAATGAACTGTGAGGGGATAAGAGAGGGAGAGGCGACAGGACGGGAAGCAATCTTCGACAACAGTCATCAAACAAAATCGTGACCAGAAATCCATGCAAATGCAAGCGCATCAACATACCTTCGTTTCACCCTGGATAAACTTCATCCACAACGGGAGGACTGACACCAAGCGTTTGATGTCCCCGTCCACCCTGCCGTTCAGCTCTCGCTTCGCCAGGTCGAAATCGATGTTGTCCAGGATTTCGAGGAGCTCCTCGGGTGCTTCGGGCTTGTCGTGGGAGTGGCTCACTGGAATCGAGATTTCGTTGCCGTGGTCGTCCTTGAAGTCCAGATCCAACATGTCTCGCGCGAGAGCCATGTAGAACTTCGCCGCGTCGCTGTTGCTAGGATCTTTGACGTCGTGGCGGGTCTTAGGCTCACAAAGCTTAAGGAACCCGTTGAACGTCGAGTCGTTCCCGAGATGACAGACAAGGAGGACCAGAAAGTGCGGCTTCCTCTCCGGGTCTGCTGAGGTCTTCCCTCCCTTCCCCTTCGCCACTGATTTCTCCGGGGTTGTTCCCTGATACCAGCTCCGCAACGCTCCATGCTTCCCGATCTCGACCTGCCAGTCCCAGTACTTGTCCAGGCTGTTGGCGAGTACCACCACTTTCTCCGAGTTGTATCCCGTAAGGATGTCCCTCTCGTCCGGTCCATACTGGAAGTGCTTCCTCCTGCCGACCTTGGTAGAAAGCTCGTCGATTTTTGCCTTCAGGTCCTTCTGCAACCACTGGAAGATATGGCGCTTCGGAGGCGGAGTTCCAGGGTCCTGCCCGAAAAAACACGCACGGTGGGAGGAAAGAAATATTTGCAACAACGTCAGGGTAGAGCCCACCCAACCACGCGTCTTCATTCTCCCAGTTCTATGTTTGCCTGCATACGTTGTACGTTGGTCAGCGGGGTCACAGTGCCTTTATGCTCGGAAATGACGGGGTGTCTTACATGGCTCCAATAATAAGGAGACCACCATGACAGCTCCAAACGGGCAAAGTGGCCATTGAGCTCGCATCGTTCACACATCGCACCATGCGTTTTCCTTTGCACCTGACGGTGTCCAGTGTTTTCATGTCCTATGGCCCGACCAAGTCCACAACAGACACGTGGCTTTGTCTCACTTCGTTTCGTCCATGCCATTCATCGAATTTCAGGGGGGAGGGGGGGGGTACTCATAGCCGAGCATGCCGTCGTCGTTAGACCGTTGGCCTCGCATCCCTACAAAGACGGGACGGAAGATGGCCGGTTTTTCACCAACCCCAGAGGAGCCGCATGGAGGGTGCGCTGCATCCTGCCACCTGATCAGGGTGTTCGGCATGTTCTGCTTACTTCCTTGCCTACGGGTGACAGCTGCGGATGGCTTTATTGTTTTCGGGCTAACCCTTTATGAGACAAACACAACAAGGACTGTGGAAACTGCTCGAGGGTGCTTGCCCAATTTTACACAGCGTGGTGCGGTCCTCCCCTTATCGCGGAGTGAAGGTTGTCGACCCCACATAACATGAGCGTCTAGGCCACCCTCGCGGTTACCGCAAAAACTAAAACTAAAATGCCGGCTAAAGCGGTATACGCTTTGTCGGGCTCAAGAAGCGATCGGTGTGTTTGAAAACGTCGTTGGCTTCTTGCACGAGTGCACCTTTGAGATCTGTGTTTGGGCGAATATTGGTCACGTGCGGCGGTGCTCGACAGCTAACAACGTCAACTATTACACGACCACCCACGGGCTTCGCGATTCATTCTCGTCTCATCTTCTAACGTCCGGGTCACATTAACCTATCGTATTTTTCAAGGGGGTCGGCATGCATGCCACTCTTCCTCAAGAACGACAACATCCGCCAAGTTGAGTTTCGGTGCCACAATCATTATTGGGAACGACTCTCGACCAAGACGTAGACTCTCGACCAAGACGTAGATCTCTTCTCGATGTGAACGCGTTGGTCGGATGGACATGCCTAACGCCGTACCTTTCCGGGGTCGTCGCTGTCCTCGTCTTCGTCTCCGTTGCCGAGCCCATCCCCAACACTGCCTGCAGAATCGCCGACTGCAGACAAGTCCACACTCTGGCATAACAGGGGGGCAACCAACAGGACAAAAGGAATACGACGGAAGGCAGTTTCAGCCACCATTGATTTCCGGCAACTACACATCACTGAAGAGCTGAAAAGGGTTGGTCTTTGTTATTTAACTCGAGGAAACACAAAACCAAGCAAGATACAGCCGTGTTTCGCCACGCTAAATGTTGACAAATAAACGGTGCTGCAGTCAACAGGTCACACCGCGAGACGCATATGACACTGCCACACAGCAGTGTGTGTTGTTTTCCGGCTGACCAAAGAACAGGAGTGTCAACTATTTTTTGAAGGCACAGGTCATGGCAGGCTTTCTTTCGCTGTGTCATCCACTTTGTGTGCTTACTGCTGCCGCTTGGTGGTTGTCCCGTGTGTAAACAGCAGTCAGACTGCCGTGTTTTTTCGCAGGTCGTTTTTCGGGAACTGTCAGGAGCAAACTGACGCTCCGTTGCCCAGCGCACGTTCGCGCTCACGGGGGGGGGGGGCTCGCTGCTGTCATGTCGTGCTTTTGTCTGCCACCCTCGAAGTCTAACACCAGCGGCCGGCAGACGCAAGCTTTGTACCAAATTCTCGCGAACCCCAATTACTTGCATAACTTCCATCTTAGCTCCCCGTAGAGCGTTACATCTGCCTCCGTCTCATTCATCGCTCTTTGGCGTCGCATATGACCCACTCACTCCGACGGGTGTTGCAACATAACAATTGTACGCACCCGAGGGTGGCGTTCTTATTTTCTTGGAGCAGCTTCCAACTTTTGTCACCCAACAACACGAACAGACTGCTAGCCACGGACGCACACCGCCAAAAAACAACGTCTGCACAGAGGGCTTTCCAGCCTGGCGCGCACGGTACTACAGTCTCAAGCCTTCGCACTAAAATCGCACAGCGTGGTGTCTGACCTGGCTATCACTGTCTTCTGCTGAGGTCCGACTGCTGCCGCCGCCGCCGCCGCCGCCGCTGCGGCCAGCTAAATCGGCGCCGCGGCCAGCGCCGCCGCCGCTGCCACCCCCGCTGCCGCGGCCAGCCCCACCGCCGCTGCCACCCCCACCGCCGCCGCCAGCTAAACCGCCGCCGCGGCCAGCTAAACCGCCGCCGCCGCCGTGGGCCTTCGGGGAACCGGAGACGGTGGTGTTCTTCCTCTGAGAACATGGCGGGGGAACAGCGCATACCACGAGGAAATTGGTGGGACGGCATGAAGCGGAGGCATATCAGACCTTCGTACTCGAACCTTTTAGCATGCAATCAAACACTGGGCTTGGTATATACTACAGAGGGAAATGCCATGCTTCCCCCTGCTTGTGCTCCACGGTTGGTTGCAAGCAGCCGCAGCACACTATGCACAACAATTATATCTATCGCTGGTCTTTTATTGTACCATACGAGAAGCGCGACCAGCCTACAGCAGTAGGTGACAAAAAATTGCAAGCATCGCAGCATACTACTGCTGTACTACAGCAGTAAGTACCATATACGAAGTACAACAATGATTTATCTTCCCGCTGGTGCGACCAAACTCCAGAGAAGGTGACGTAACAAAGATGGCACACCGCCGATTTTGAAAGCTCAACTACTACTCCATGCCGAAGACAGAATCCCCAAATCACACTCTCGAACGATACAGTACACGTAGTAGCTTTGAAGCAGCCATCTTGGGCACCCACTCTTTGTGCTGTGGAGCAATCCAGCTAACAAGCAGTCAAGGGGGTGTGATATCTTGTGTCGCCCCCGGTTGCAATGCTGCATAGTGCAGAGTTGCGTCTTGACATGTAAACAAAAGGGTCATGTTGCGTGCGTCGACAGCAGTCCGTGTAGAGTTGTCACCTTGGCTGCAGCAGCGCGAGGGGACACGCCATCATCAATGCTGTCGAGGTTGTCCAGTTCCAAGGTTTCCATCTCTGAGATACTGCACGGGGCGGGCCTTCTCCGGATAAGCTCCTCGAACTGCTGGTTCATGTCTGTGCTCCTGTCGAGCTCTTCAGGTACGGGTGCCTCCCTTGCGCCCAAAGATACTGCGTTTGGGGATGGAGAGCCGCGCGAGGGGGTAGGCGTGCTTGCCAGCGGCAGAGCCGCCGACATCAACCGCGGCGGCAGCGGTGGAGGGGCAGCCAAGTGGCTGCTCTGTGGGAACACGCTCTGTTGGGTGCGTATGGGATGCACACCCAGCGATGATGCGAAATCCTGTCGCGGTCCTCCAACCGCAGAGAACGGAGCCCAGTTGGATCCAGGCGAGTGGTAAGACTGCTGCGACTGGTGTTGCTGTGGTGGGACGGAGGACCAACCTGCAGCGATTGGTGCATAGCTTGGCGACGGTTGCTGGTGCTGCCTCTGCCCCTGCTGCTGGTGCTGGTGTTGCCGCTGCCCCTGCTGCTGCGGATGCTGCTGATGCTCCTGATGCTCCTGGTCACGCCCCCCGCCTTGCGAATAGGACATTCTTCCTCTACTGCTCTTGCGCAACAAGGTGCCCCACCGTGGGTGTGCCTGTTCGCACTCCGTGCTAGATTGGTGTCGCGGCTTGGTGTGGCGCCTTGCCACGGCACTACTTTCTGTGCGTCAGTGCGTCACTTGCCGTCGACTGGACCGCTAATGTTCGAAGTTGGTTTCGTTTCACCCAAATCGGGATCCGATTAAATCATTTACCTTTTTTTTTATTCCCGATTTGGAGAGGGGGGATCTGATTATAAGTACTAAAGATTCCACGGGTTCCAGAACTTTTAGCCAATCAACAAGAGTTATTTGGATCTTGTGGTCTTATAATCAAATCGGGAAGTGAAATCGGGAACCGATATTTTGGTTAAGACCGGCCCTAACCATTGTTGTTGCACATACAAAAGTAGGACCAAGATACGATCCGAACGGAGGATCTTACTAATGGTTGATCAGCAAGAGACCCGACTGTGGATGCGTCCCTCTTGGCGCCACCTGTGGAGCTTGGGAATCCGAGACCCTCGGCCTTGGTCTCCCTCGCCCCTTCGGCGGCAATCCCTCTCTTGTCTCTCTTCTGAGACCCTCTCCTCTCAAAATCTCGACGAAGAGAACTGCCAGCCCTTAGTAGTGGGAAAAGACTATTGCGACCTGGGCCTCCCCCCCAACGAGGGAAGCCTGTGTCCTCATTGGCGTTGACGAATTAAAAGATACTCTGCTGGTACTGGAGGTAGAGGTGAGAGATGCCGAAAAAATCAGCCGTGCAACGCGCTCGCGATAAGGCGGACGCGGCGGAGGAAAAGAGGCTCAAGGAGCAGCAACGCCGCCTTGAGCTGGAAGCTGAGCCAGAGCAGCTCAAGCAACGTCTCGCCGCCACACACCCGACAACCAACCCCGCTAGCGCGTGGGACACCCTCGGAACGCGTGCCGGCTTCACGCCCCTCGGGTGATAGCAGCCTTCTTGAGGAAAAGTTGGATGACCCTGAGGGTGCCGACCGCGCGAGTGCCACCAGCGGCGGTGAAGATGGCGGTGATTCCGGTGAGCGCGACACGTTTGTCGACGGCGAGAGTGGAGACGAGTATGAGGATGTTCCTCCTGCCGCCGGCCGGGAGCAGCAGGGGCGTTGGGCCGATGAGGAGGAACCCGAAGATGAGGAGCCCGAGGTTCTTACATCGCCGGCTGTCGCACCCATTGTGGAGAAGCTGAAACAGCTCACCGTGCTGGGACCGAACCTCCCGAATGGCTCATGTCCATTGTACTGCCCGCCAACTCGCGAAAGGTGAATACTGCCGTAGGTGGTAGCATGCCTGCTGTCCGACACGAACCCAACGTTGGTAGCGAAGGTAGTGCCCGCCCGAACCTCCGGCG